AGTCAAGATTCCAAAGGTTTCTAAACTATATTTAAAAAAAAAAATGCTCCAATGTTTAAGAATTTCTTATTTCCCTTCTTTTTCAAGAGTGCCTCAATAAACGGCTTTTCCCAAATCAATGGAAATTTTGTACCCGTACTCCAATATTAAAATCTGCTGATCGCAATAACGTCTGTAAATACAGACCAATAGTTAAACAAAGCACATTGGCTAAGTTATTTGGTAATATAATATATTCGAAATTATTGGATCATGTAAATAGTATAATATCGGCTGCCTTCCCGATAGGTCAACCTGCTCTAATTTAGCTCTACTAGGAACAAGAATAGTAGAAGCATTACAGATGCGCAATTAGATGTTATTAGTATATGCGAACTTCTCCAAAGCAGGGACCGTAACAGTTACAACTTTTATTAAAAAATCGCTCTTTAACAATCACTTGTTGACTTCTACTTAATTACTCTATAAACAACCGTTATTTCTGGCCTTTATTTTATAAATAGAAAATAACAATTATTTTTGATTTTTAAATTATATGTCTTAGACAACAGTTGTCGAAGAGTTTTATTTATAAAAGTCATAATTAAAAATCAGTCACTAGCTTTTATTTTTTAAATAAAACTTATAAAAGTCATTTGTATAAGTCGTAGTAAACATTTGTTTTCTAACACCTACTTAACTGCGAAAAATTTTACTGACTTTTACTCGAATGATTTAAAAAATAAAAGTCGGGGACTGATTTATACTTATGACTTTTAAAAGTAAAAGTCACTGACTGACTTTTATAAATAAAGTATTCAACAGCTATTACCTAAGATATAAAATATAAATATCAAAAATAATTATTATTTTTGGATTTATAATATAAAAATCCAAAATAATTGTTATTTTTTTTAATTGTTCATAAAAATTGCAAATAAAAATTTATTTTCAAATTTGAGTCTCGGTGAAAAAAGATATCGATTGGTGTATATCACTTAGTTGTAGAATATTTCCTTAATAGTTAATTTTTCCATGACAGTTTTCATCAGGAACTGTTATGTTCGGTCCTTTCTCCAAAACTTACGAAAAAGTTAATCATATCATCTTTTTACAAAGTCTTGGAATACTTCGAAAGCTTTTTAGCAGACATAGTGCCGTTTCCTCATGTAGTTTTTAAAATGTGCCTGCCCTTTAAAATCACTTTTCCAGTACAAAATTTTTGTTTAAATGGCAGATAAATTTTAAAGCCTACATTATATAATGGCCCATAAATTTACTTGTTAAAATTGGTGCAACGTCATCTAGAGTTATTGTTAATGCGTGGTCAGGTATGCCACAGGGTACCCACTGTGGACTTCTGTTATTTTAATTTTTCATTAATGTTTGCCAGACTGTTTCAAATTCCCTAACTGCTTAATGTTTGTAGATGCAAGTAACTTCGAAATGAAATTTTGGTTTCGAAGCTCGTCGATTATACGTTGTCCAGACCATTTTCTTTTTCATCGGTTTTATAAGAAGAATCACTGAATAGTTCTGAGCTCCATGCACTCTTATATAGGTCACTTTATATGTCTTTAGTTAGGAGCCGCCTTGAGTACTGTTCTATATTAATTATGGAATCCTTACTATGGTACCTACAAAAAGTTTGCGTTTAGGTAAGCGAATTAAAGCATGCTATGGATTTCTCAAGTGTCATAGAACAAAGCTTTCTTAAGTAAAAGGTTGATGGCACCTCAAAAGCATGCCCATCTCTGTCTGACGCACCCTCCGGACAAAGATTTCGATGCTTTTTTTCGAACTCTGCATGACTTACAACCAGCGTTGCCAGGTTGACGTTTTTAACGTCATTTGGACGTTTTTTGTATCCTGTTGACGTTTGGACGTTTTTTGTTTAAAAAATTACGTTTTTTAACTTCCCAGTAATTTTTCTCTATTCACAATTGGGTGGTTCAGAAGGTGTCGTACGTGGCGTATTGTCGGATTTTGTTAAAGTTTTTAACGGCCAAATAAATTTTTAGAGGACTTAAAATCACCACCAACTATTTTTTAACGGCGTGAAATTTCATAATACAACTTTTATGTTGGCTTGCGAATTCCTTAAATATAGTTTTGGCGGTTTAAAGTTTATGGGATACAACACTACGACAGTATACAACACCTTGTGAACTCCCTAAATGTATTCAATGTATAGTGTACTATTTGCTTGTAGAGTAAGTACTTACGCTCACACTTTCGGCAAATTTGTTACTAAATCTTGTAAGTAGAACTAATTTTGAATTATTTTCTTAATAAATCTTTACAAGCTTTGTTTTTTGCAGCAGCTGCCTCAAAGATATTTATTCTTTGGACACATATGACTTAAATATGATGCAAACTAAGCTTACGCGCTTTTTTTTTTATTCTCGGACTAAGGATCCCGCGTTCAAAGGCTGATTGTGTAAACACTTGAGGTTACAAGGCTTATTACAATGTTTGCAATTGCATATTAAAAGCCAAATCAGGAAGAGCTGATCTAATGCAACACGTACGCTCTCAAAAGCACTATGTTCCTTCTTAGCATAACGTAGTTTAGCATTGTCGACAACCGACCACCTAACCAAATGTCTACAAGAAAAAAAAATATATAAAATATCCACGCGATTCTTTAGCAACTTAAAACTTGCACATTATTACCCTGGAATTTAATGGGCTATCAAACTGTATACTAAAAAAAAAATCTAAAAAATCTGAATAAAAACTTGGAAATCTAGCTGAAACTTTGCAGATTTTTTATAATTTTTGCACAAAGTTTGAAATGTGGATTTATATTGTGTTAGTTATATAATGAGCTAGACTTTTATGAAAAAATAATAACCATTAAATAAACAAAATAAAAACAGCCAAAATAGATCAAAATGTTGATGACTTAATCAGCTAATCACAAGTGTATGTATAAAATGATTTTTATATTAACGATCTCAAATCAGTTTCCAATAGTGGTATTCACCAAATTGTTGTCAACAGTCCTTGTTTGAGCTCATCTGCTGTTTTGCCAGAGTGCCAGGCCACTTGCTCACTTTGGTGAATACCACTAATGAATTTTAAATGTGCTCTGTCGAAATGACATTTTAATATACCTTACGTACATATGTACCTTTGTATACAACAAAAGTTTAATAAGAACAATTCTGTGTGCATACATGTAAAAGACGTTTTTTGGTAGAAAATGACGTTTTTTCAGACCAAGAGGGACGTTTTCTCATGCCGAAAACCTGGCAACACTGCTTACAACCATGCATAGCTGATGCATAGATGTTTACCATTGGCCAGAGTGTCTACCCACTATTTGTTGATCGAATAAATATTTTTGTATACATGCATACATGCAAACAACCCGATCTGCTCTCTCACTGAGTTGTTCATTCAGCCCACATACAATGAGCGAAGTTTTCTGCTTTCAGCGCTTGTACAACACGTGGCGAATTCAAAAAAATTTTAGGTGAATCAGATGGTTTGTTAGCAGAAGCAGTGTTGCATTTTAATCAAAACTCACTTGCTTCCCAAGTTACACTTTTAAGTGCAGGGAGCAAATATGTAGCATTTTTTTTCCAAATAAAATTTAAATACGTTTTACCAATAAATATTGCACTCGGCTTTAAGTACAAAAGCATTAAGCAAAAACTAAAAAAAAATAAAATATTTTTGGCAAATTTTCACAAATTTTCAATATTTTCAGTCATCCGTATGAAACTGTTTTCCATAACAAATGAGAATAAATGGGCTAAAATTAAGAAAATATTTAAATAAAAAAAATGTTCATATATAATTTTGTATGTATTTAAATTCATGTGACCATTCAATGTATATTTTCTTTGCGCATATTTTATGATACTTTTTTTCTTCACTTGCAGCTATTCACTTCAATGCTAAACAAAATCGTTACTTCACATCTTTTTTGATTAAATGGTATTCAAAGTATTAAAAAGTCCAACTGTCGCATACATCATACTTTTCACAGCACCGTCTGAAAATAAAATCAGCGCCGCCGTTATGAAAAAATGATTATATTCCCACTTATATCCAAAGCTAATTTTATAACCTCACTTTTGCACTTTTAGTCAACATTTAGTATCATTCTTTTAGCTAAGCAGTAAAGAACCATTTTCGCTTTTTACGTGTCGTGAGAACTTTTTTTTTGTTATTACTGTATTTGTTATCTTTCTAGCACCAAATTTCTATTTTATTTTATTCAAGAATGTAATCACCATTTTCTCCAAGTATTTAGTGCGCTTAAGATAATATATTGAAGCAACTGTTTTCCCAAAAGCTTTGATATTATCGTGGCTTTGCATTTTTTTTTATTTTCTGTTTTGCTTTTTTCACATTTTCGTTTTTTTTTTTTCTTTTTTCCCAAAAAAAAAAAATAAGACTGCTGCACATACTTAAGTTGTTGCTGCTTTAATTTCCATAAGGTTCCATGCTCTCACTTTTTCTATATTTTCCGCTTCCTCCACAATCACACATTTTCTGTTTTGGGTCGCTTAACTAGTGCTCACCTCCTAGCAATCTTCTTTAAATATTTTCTGTAGCAATTTTATTTCAGGTTTTTATTCTTCTTATTTTCCTATTCCAATTCTTATTGTAGGCTTGAGATTGCTGCTATTTTTTCTTTTAGTTATTTCACTTCCCGTTTGACGCACAATGTAATAAAGCTGCAAGGGATATGAGATTCTTATCTTTATAGCAGCCGAAGGACCTATTCAAGCGAGGGCACCGCTACAGCCACAGGCAGTTGACTAAGCATATAGCTGCCAACGAGATATTTTGCAATGATTTTTGTGCACAACTTAAGTCAGAGTACGACGTCTATATCGACTAGCACATTTATTTATTTCAGTAACTTTTCCTTTTTGTGAAACTTTTAATATAAATTTTCTGGCGAATTTTCTGTGCTACACAAGCGACTTTTTCCTCAATTCACTACAAGCACACCTTTCTTTCATTTAACTCATTTACGTATAGGCGTGAAATTTTATTACCGACCGTGTATGCCTTTGAAATTTGCTTGCAAAACAAATTCACTGGTGAACTGCCCACAACCAACAAAAATAAAGTAGAAAGAAACCAGCCGACGCACTTCCGCCGCTCAACGACCATTTAACGCCCGTTTACAAAAACAGACTGAGCCATTTCGGGATTTATCCCTTGATGTTAAATAGAAGACTTGCAATTTTTTTGTTTTTTTTTTTGGCTGCCAATTCGTCTTCGATAGACTGCTCTCCAGCAGCAACACAACGTACTTATCTAGTTTAGGGAGAAGAGCAACAATCAGCGTAAAATCAGTCGGCTCCGGTTTTGCGCCAGATGCCAGACGCATGACAAGGGGAGAATTGCGCGGGTTTGTATGGGTAAAAATAGATTTACCCGCTGATGTGTAGCTACTCTCAAGCAGCACTGGTTGCAAGGCAGCTCGAGTACGAAATTGTTACGGAGAGCATACACATGACTGCGGCAAGCATAATTGTGCGCCGAGTAAGAAGAGTGAGTGTGCACGAGTGAGTGAAATTGAGTGTCAGCATCCCGTTGGCAGGATACGTACAATACAAAATTTGGCAGCATAGCATGTTTTTTGAATTACAAGTGTGGTGAAAATCAGCAGCAGAAAGAGAAGTGTAGCATAAAAAAAGAGATACATTTTATGAGAACTCTCTCTTCACTTCGATTAAGGTGAGCGCATAAAAAGTGAATTTTCAAAGAAGTTACTTCAAACAGAGCACTTTCTTTATGCTATTTCAGACGAATATCTGATCTAATTTCGATTTCTTTCGTTAAAAGCATATACACTTATTTTATGTCTAACAATATTTTTCGGTGTATGCTACTCACGACGATCTTAGCGCCACTACTCATTCACGCCCAACGCTTGTTTGCCTAAGAGCACCAGAATATATTTATCATCCTTATCGCAAGTTCCGTTTTGTGCGCTTGTTCTTAAACGCCCTCTGTTGGCTTTGCTGAAAAGCTTTCTTATCACAAAATAAAAGCTTTTATGTGTCACCTGAAGACTCATAGATGTGTAAGCAGTAGGTTGATAAGAAATCATGCTGAACACGCAGATGCATGAGGTGGTGGAAAAGTCGAAAGGGAAATACCGTTAAAGTTTATAGATATAAACATAGTATCGTATATAGTTTACATATCTCAATAAAAGCCAACATATTTAAACTCCGCTAAAAACATAGACTCATACCTAAATGAAAGGTCTGAGCTACAAAATATTACACCTTATTGCACATATTTAGGTTAAAGCCTTTAAACCCAAACGGCGCAGATCTGATAGCCTTTACCAAAAATGTATGTATTCCCTTAATTTTCGTTGAATTTGACTTTCTAAACGGGTTGCAACCCTAATATGTAAAGCCTTTTAAACACATTTCGATTGATACCCTTATTGAAATAATTTATTTACTTTATATATAATTTGAAATTAAATTTGTAAACAGCTGGCAACCCTTTTCGAAATAAATGGCCAACTACAGTCGTTTTAAACCTCTCTCGTGTGACTATGGGTGTCATTTTTACATATGTATATACATACGATTATTTCAATTACCTTACTCCCTTAATTGAAGTTATATATGACTTATAAAACAGGTGGCAAACCTCATGAATATTAGAAATAAATCCCTTTCAAACCCATTTCTTTTGATAATTATATTGTAATAACTCATTATCAATTGTATACTTTTTATTAAAATTTTTAAACAGCTGGCAACCTTCTTCCAAGTATTTTAAAACTACAACCTTCTTAAACCTCTCTCGTCGGAAAGCCATATTTTAATGTATATTTCAATTATCCAATTGCCTTAATTCTAGTTAAAATTGATTTTTGAAACAGGTGGCAACTCTAATACATATAGTTTATAAATAAATCCATTTTAAAAGATTATAGTAATACATTTAACTTATGAGATAATTTTAATTTTAATTTTTTAACTGATGGCAACCCTCTTCAAGGTGTTTTTAAACTACAACGCTTTTAAACATCTTTCGTCTGACACCCATATTGTAATATATAAGAAGGATTTTTGAAGCAGTCAATATATGTAGGATGGGATTAAAATTTTTCAAAACCATATAGATTGATACTTATGTATATTGTAAAAATTCATTTAACTTATTTGAATTAAATTTTTAACAGGTGCCAACGCTTTGCTTATTCTTACTTGGATTACCATTAAAGCGGAGTAATTTGTCCGAAGCAAAATTTTCGAAGAAAGTGTATAGAAACTTCAAATTCTACGATTAATTCTAGCCAAAAAAGGCGAAAAAACTATATACCAAAAATGACATTTGACCTTCCCAGTTTTCAAAAGAAAAAACAGCATATTGTATGAAGAAAACACAAAATTTTGTAAATGAAAAATTAATTTCATTCAGAAAAAAATTTTAGGAAATCGATGGCTGAGTAGAAGATCGACCTATCTCGGCAGCCAGTTCGAAAACGCTCTATCTCAAAAAACTTTTCAAGAACGCTCTATTTCAGAATTTACTTGAAAACTACCCTATCTCAAAATTCGGTTCAAAAACGCCCTATCTCACTTCAAAATGTATCGAAAATTTGCTGATATAGGGCGCTTTTGAATCGGCACTTGAGATAGGGCGTTTTTGAAACGAATTCTGAAATAGGGCCTTCTTGAAAAGTTTTTTGAGATAGAGCGTTTTCGAACTGGCTGCCGAGATAGGTCGATCTTCCACTCAGCCATCGAAATACAATGATTTTTCTTTTAAAAATTGGAATGGTAAAACGTCATTTTTTGTATACAGCTTGTTCACCATGTTTGCTTAGTTAGAATCGAACGTAGAACTCGTTTTTGTCATAAAATTTTTTTTGAAATTAAATTACTTCGCCCTAATCCCCACACTTCGTTATAATTCTTCAAACATTTTTGAATGTAGTGCCAGAATTCCACTGAGCGTTGAGATGACAAAAAACGACATTTAGCATTTAAACAAGTAATTTTTAAGCAAAATAATACAACCGCATTAATGCTTATATAAAAATGTAGGAGTACCGTTAATTGCTTTATGATACAAAGAGCAGGAACTAGACCAAATTAGTATGAAAATTAAAAAAAAAGAAATATTCCGATGAACTGATAACCTTTCTCTTTCTTTTGAAGTCGGTTAATGATATTTTTTACCGCAAAAATTATGAGCTTTATCATGACATTTTGGTCATTTAATGCCCAGTGGAAATCCGCTATAAAGACGAGTTTACACTGCGCGATGATGTGGCTGAAAAGTTGTGTTATTTGCAAAATGCCACGAGGATTTTTTATTAAAGAAATGGCAAATATATTTTTATATTCTGACTTTTATCAGTAATAGTTATGTCATTTTATGTGCTGTGAAAACACGGCTTAAAAAATAATTAAATACTTTACATAATTAAATTTCAACCGTATCAAATCGTTCAGGTATAACTATATTTTGCTTTTGAAATTATATATGTATACATAAAGTATTTCTCTGATAATTAAGCTACAAGATTAGTTCATAGGTATGTTTATGTATATATGTAAGTGTATGCTTGTACTTAGGTTTAATCGTCCATTGTCTCAAATAAGCAATGGTCGTCTAATTGCCACAAAGGCAAAATGCAGTTGTGAGATAATGTAACTCTCTTAATATGCGGTCACTTGTGAAGACAAAGCAGGTGGCACTTGTATTCAATACTGCAGCTTATACATTTATACATACTTAGATATCGATAAATAGATACATATGTAACCAACAAAGGATTTTAACAGCAAGTTTCGTGCAAGAGAGCATATTTAATATGGAATACAGCCACAGGTAAGGTTTTGCTGTGTAAAAGCTCACAATAGCTTAGCCACTGTCAACAACATGCCAACAACGCTATTTATCTAATTTATCGCAATGTATAACAAAAGATTGTTATAATTTGTTGCAATTCGCCAGTTGCTCTAACCTCAGCATGGTCAGTCAGGTGGGCCTCGTAAAATAGAATCACGTAATGAGATTTTAAAAGCAAAACAATAAACATGCTCATCTTTAATAATTATAAACAATGTCATAATTATCCTTTGTCATAAATAGAAAGTGCGCAATAACGCATTTGTGTAAAGGAAACTTGAATAAAGCCGCGAGCAAACTCGTAAATATGTACATACATTCGTACAACTATGTACAAACATAAATATTTGCCCAAGACACTATCAGACCAACCGACGTTCCTGAAGACAGCCCAATATGGTGCATAAGTTTTTGCTGGCGGTTAAGTTGGGTCAAATACACAGGGAGTAACCTAATGTTAACTGTGTTTAAGAGATTGATTTTTTTTTCTAAAAAAAAAAGCTGCTTAAAATTTTAGTCAAGTGTATGGCTGAGCTGCTTAGAAATTTTGCGGCGTGCGTCTTGATATTCACACACGAATGGAGGGACTAGAGATTAACGCCATCTCTGGGAAGGATATTTTATGAAAAGCTACACATCTTCATGTCCGAAATAGAATCGGAGATCTTCGATTACTTGCGGAAGTTGAATATTGATTCTACCGAGTGAAAGTACGTAACTCTAACCACATATGTATAACAAGGACAGTTTACTCAACGTACCAGGCTACGCTGGAGATACTCCTGTACATTCCATCCATAGAGATAGAGTTATAAGTACCGACGCTATAGTGGAGTTGGAGTAGAGTAGCTGTGACTATCAGGTCACGAAAACTGGCTTCAGTCGAAACTTCGATGTTCATTTTCCCAACAGAAGTGAATGGGAATTTAATACTGCTCTCATCGATGATGAAATACCCATTTTCATGGAAGGCTCCAAAATGCATATTGTAACATGCTCTTGCGTCTTCTCTCAGGAGTTATTACTGAGAGAGTTTTATAGACTCCCAGATCACTGCAGTGTTTTCCAGGCTTAGATCTATGGAATCGACATAGCGAGCACGATCGACCAAGCTCCATCTAAACTTGCCTTCGTTGTTGACAGTCAAGTTGCCATCAAAACCTTAGGGTCGGCAATACTAACTTCATATGCGTTGAGGAGTGCCGAAGATCCCTGCAAGCTTTACCGCAATACGTAATTCATTTTTACTGAGATGGAACCCCAGGAAGTGATCCAGATCGTAAATCCCCACTGCGCTCTCGGTCTTCA